AAAAACACCAAACATTTACCAAAACTAGAGAGAAAAACACCAAACATTTACCAAAACTTCCAGCCTTTTAAAACTTTTTTATTATTATTATTTTGAGGCGGATTTTCTCCATCTGGAGAATGAAAAGGCTCTGGCAGGTCTGGTGAAGTGTCAGCGAAAAGGCTTTAAAAATGTTGTTATTATTATTATTTATGGGCTGGAGCCTGAGAGGGRGAAAAGAAGCCAAAAAAAGGTTCAAAAATAGCTGAAAAAAAAATWCGGGATGTTTTTTCCAGAAGCGACTCATTTTGAACGTTTGGGATGCGAAAGCTGAAAAAAAAAAATACCTTGGAAAAGGACAAATATATTGGGAAAGAGAAAAATGTGTCGTTCCCGTGGAATTCCGCCTCGGGATCGCATCGGGAAAAAAAAWATCAGTGATCCCACAGCCCCTCTGGCTGTTCCCAGAAATTTCCCGGCTCCTGGAGACCCCTTTCCCAAGGGAGAACCCCCCGCAGTGTCCCCGCTTTGGGAAGGGTGGAGGTGCCGGGATTTTGGGGTCGGGATTTTTCCTCTGCTCCGGCAGCTTGTCCGGAGTGCCCGGGGGAGCGGAGCGGCTCCTCTTGGCCCGAGGGGCTGGAATTCCGCAGCGGATCCGGAACGGCCCCTCCCGGGTCCCCCCKGCTCGGAACGCTCCCGGTGGCTCGGGGGATGTTCCTGTGTGGGGTCCCCCGCGACCCCCAATTTGGGGTCCCCGAAGGTGCTTCAGTTTGGGGCTCCCACAGGTTCCASTGTGGGGTCCTCAGGGAAAATCCGATTTGGGGTCATTGGGGATGTTCTGTGTCCTCAGGAATGCTCCATTTTGGGATCGCCGGGGATGCCCCACTTGGGGGATGGAGGAACCCCCTCTGCAACCCCACAATGGGCCCTGGGCAGGAACTGGCACGAGGAGGGGACTCAGGGGACACATTTTGGGGTCGGCAGCGGTGCTTTTCCCCCTTTTACCCCTCACCCCATTGCTTGGCCCCCTTAAGCCCCCCAAACCCCTTTGTGGGGCTGAGAACGGGGATCCCAATCCTTTGCTTTCTCCTTTCACCCCATGCCCGCTCCTGTTCCCTCTCACCCTTTTTTTTTCTTTTTTTTTCCCCTCCTATTTCGGGCTTTTTCAGCTGCTTCCTTTTATTCTTTTAATTTAGACCCTGTCATTACATTTTCCATTCTTTCAAAGAAAAAAAGAAGCCGCTTCCCAAGGTCCTTTCCAGCTCCTTATTCCGGGCYGTGTTCCTGGGGTTCTGGACCCCCTCTTTTCCCCGTCTCCCACTTCCCTGTCGGGCTTTTGGGGGGTTTGGGCACTCTGTGGGAGGGGGAAATACCCCAAAAGCCGCCCCATTCCCGCTCCGGGATCCCGACGTGCTGGCACATCCTCTTTCCATCCTTTTTGGGCTCCGGCCATCCCAAATTACCGGGGCGGGCCGGGAGCTGCCGGCTCCGGGCTCCCGTTCCCTTCCCTGCTCTGCTATTCCCGTTTGGAAYGGGGCCGGGGGAGAACGAGAAGCAGCTGAGTTTTTCTCGTCCCATTTTCCTGCCATTCCAGAGCACTCCCGGGATATTCCCAGCCCTGGTTCTGCCCTCCGGTCCTTCCAGAGCTGATTTCATATCYGGGTCACCCCAAAACCCAGGGCCAGGACCTTTTAGGGGATCCTTGCTCCATCCTGATCCCGCATTCCCATGCTCGGGAGCATCCCTGCTGCAAAGGGGCTCAAAAAGTGAGGSAAAGAGCCTTTTTTAAACCTGCAAAACCCCCCAGAATCCTCCATCCCACACCCGGGGGTCTCTCCATGGGGCTCCTCCCGAGTTTTCCCCTTCTGGATCCCCTGTGGGTCCCACAGAGCCGTTTTCCGGGGGGTTTTGGGGAGGATTAAAGAGAATTCAGGGCCGGAGCTTCCCAGCTGAAGCCGGGGATGTTTGGGAAGGGCCGGGGGTGGATTTTGGTACCGGGGGAGGTTTGGGAAGGGCCGGGGGTGGATTTTGGTACCCGGGGATGTTCGGGAGGGGCCGGGGGTGGATTTTGGTACCCGGGGATGTTCGGAGCACACGGATGGGGGGTGGGGCTGGCCGGGAATGCGGGATCAGGATCCAGGGCTTGGAAGGTGTGGAACCCTCGGGATTGGGAATTGTGGTTCCAGCTCCCGACCTGGGGAGGTTTGGGATCAGCAGGAGGGGTTTGGGGTCAGCGGGAGGGGTTTGGGGTCAGCGGGAGGGGTTTGGGGTCAGCGGGAGGGGTTTGGGGTCAGCAGGAGGGGTTTGGGGTCAGCAGGAGGGCTTTGGCCGCAGCCCCCAGCCCAACCTTGACCCCGGGCGATTTTCCAGCCCTCGAGAATGTGGGGCAGGTCCGCACACCCAGCCCGGACCTCCCGCGCGTCCCTGCCCGGTGTCCCCGTGGTGTCCGTGGCATTGGGGTCACCCTCAGCTCCTCCCTTTATCCCAGCGCCTGGAGAACACCACACACCACGCCGGCTGGCGCTGGGATGGGATCCAGCGGCTCCAAACCAGGGGTCCCTCCAGACCCTTCGCGTCCCGCTTTTTTTATTCCCTTTTTTATTTTAATATTTTCGATTTTTTTATCTTTTTTTCCGCCCCCCGTTTTTCTTCCCGGCTCCCGAAATAGCAGCGGGAGCCGCTTCCATCTGCCCCAAGCCAAGCAGATGGTGGAAAACAATCCCGCCCGTGGCATTCCCGCATTCCCCAGGATCCCCGACCCACGCCCTTCCCCGGGCGCTGCATCCCCCGGGTTCCCTGGGGACGGGGCCGCGGAGCCCGGCCGGGCAATTCCCGCAGCCGGGGAAAGGCAGGGACACGGAACASCCCGGGACAGGCGGGATCCGGGATAAGGAAYATCCAGGGATGAGAGAGAGATCAGGGACGGGCAGGATCCCGGGAGAAAGAGCGCCCGGGATAAGGAACATYCCGGATTAGGAGAATCCAGGGATAAGGGACACCCAGGCACCGGCAACAGCCAGATTTTCGGGAGGCGGGGCAGAGTGGGACCCCCGCCATGGAATCTCAGCATTCCAGGTGCCTCCTCCCTCCCTCTCTCCCTCCCTGTCCCCCCGACGTGCCGGCATCCGCCTGCGGTGGGTTCCCGTCCCGGCGGGATGGGCAGGGACAGAGGGGTTGGGATTTGGCCGCTGTTTTGGCCAACGTTCCCCCCAGCCCGGGGGCCCCCGCGTCCCCTTTGATCTCGCGAGCGGCCGCATCCCGTTAAAAGGGTGGAAAAATGCCGCGCTGGGGCCAGAGCGGGCTGGAAAAGGGAAATGTTGTCCCGGGTTTGGCCCCATAAACGCCGCCTGTTCCATTACAGCATCCGCGAGAGCCGCGGCCGGGCGGGGAGGGGACCCAAAAAAACCCTGCTGGGGACACCCAGATGGCAGCAGGACAGACCCCCCCGCCCCTCACCCTGGCTGGGGTCACGCAGAGGGTGCCCAGCTCGTGCCTCGGCACGTCCCCGKGCCAGAGGGGCACTGGATGGGGCCCCCTCCCCGTCTGCCACGTCCCCCTGGCCGCGGGGAGCTGGCACCGGGCCCCCCCCGCCGCCGCCAGCCCGGCTGAGCCGGGCCCAAGGCAAACAGCAGCGGCCGGGAGGTGCTACTGAACGGGAGCAGGATTTGGGGACAGGGGACACGGGGGACACGCGGGGGTGCTCCTCCCCCCCTCCCCCCGAGAAGCCCAGCAGCCAGGCGGGTGTACAGGAATTATATATATTTTGTAATAAATAATGTACAAACCTGCCCGCGCCTGGGCCGGCGCGGTGGCCGAGGTGTCGCGGGGGTGGCACCGTCCCCGGCGTGGGGAGGTGGCACCGCAGAGAGGGCATTTTATCCGCGTTACCCCTGGGGTTCCCCAAAACCCCCCGTTTCCTTGTGGGATTCAGGGATGCAGTGGGTGCCCCCAGTTCCCGGACACACGGGAGCTCCGCCGGTGGCACCGGGACAAAGCACCGGGCGGGGACCCCTTCCCATCCCCGCCCCTTCCCCTCTTTGCTTCCACCCCTCCTTTATTCCTTTTATTTCAATCCCCTCTGCGGCATCTCCGGCGCCGCGAGCGCGGGACTGAGCACCAAGAGGGGGCAGGGGCAGCACCGGGGGCTGGCGAGGTTCCCTCCCCACGTCCCCGCCGTGTCCCCTTCCCCCTGTCCCSCGCTCCGCGTGTCCCCAGCGCGTCCCCCCCTTCCCTTTCGGGCGTTATAAATGAGCGCGGGCAAAAGCGACGGGGAAAGGGGAGGACAAAGCAGAGGCGGAGGGGGCGCGGGGGGAGCCCGCGGTCCTCAGGGCTGTCCCCGCGGCCGGCCCGGCCTCCGCTGGCTGCTGGGGGTCCGGCGGGTGGGCGTGGGGCCGGGGGCTCGGGAGCCGGAGGCGAAGTCCATCACCTCGGGGGGAGCGCGGCGCAGCTCGCTGCTCCCCATCTCCCTGCGGATCTCGGCCAGCGCCTCTGCCGGGGCGCTCAGCAGGCGCTGGAAGAAGCTCTCCCTGCCCGGCGGCCGCTCCTGGCAGCTGAAGGTGACGGCCGTGCCCTCGCCCGCCCTCATCTCCCGCGAGAAGCCGTCCGAGGTGCCGGCGAAGCAGCGGCCGATGGCGATTTCCTTGGCCAGCCTCGGGCTCTGGTCCGTCACGGTGTAGATGCCGTAGTTGTGGCCCAGCGGATCCAGCGGAGCCAGCATGGAGAAGGCYCCGGTGTGGTTGTTGTCGGCCAGCGGCGGGTGGCGGCTCAGGTAGTCCCTCAGGAGGCCGTTGATGGCCGTGCGGCGGCAGCTGCCCTGGGGGATGATGGACACCAGGGTCCGGTCCACCAGGCTCTGGTCGAAGAGCATCCCGCCGCACTTGAACTCCACGCAGGCCCCCGAGGTGTTGTCCAGCAGCGGATCCCGCACGCTCCGGCTGTCCCGCAGCCCATAGAGCTGCCCCCGGGTGCGGGGGTGGCTCCCCCCGACGTTGCGCGACCTCACCATGTACTCCTGCGGCCCCTCTATCTGCACCTTGATGAAGCACGCCCGGAACTCYTGCGGGTTGGGCCACCACGCCAGGTAGTCGCCGGTCCAGGAGGTGACGTCGCTCTCCTTGAAGGGCACCACGTTGTACTCGTACTTGTCCACCTCCACACGGTAGAAGCGCAGGTGGTTGGCGCTGACCGGCGCCTCCTCGCACTCCCGCAGGCTCCGGTAGGAGTACACGGGGCCGTTGCTCTCGTCCACGTTGTTGGGGTCCGGTTTGGCCACGTTGATCTGGAACGCCGTCTTCTTCAGCGCGGGGTCATCGTGGTCCGAGCGGCGGTAGCCCAGCTTGCCCAGGTAGGGCTGCGAMACCCCCACGGCGTTGGGGTTGAGCTTAGGGCTGGAGGCCACGGCTTCCAGCTCCTCGCCGCCCAGCGTGGCGGTGACCAGCGCGGTGTAGGCGTCGGGGCGCCGGCTGTCGCAGAAGGCGGGCAGGCAGGCGCCGTTGGGCCCGGTCACCACGCTGTCGAAGCGGCCCCACGCCCGCGGGTTGCTGGGGAAGCCGGGCTGCGGCTCCAGGTTGATGAGGCTGATCACCACGCCCTCCAGCTGCTCGTAGGGGTTGAATTTCTCGTTGCTGTAGGCGCGGACCTTGACGAAGCAGCGGCGATCCTCGGGCACGTCCAGGTTGAAGAGGCGGCGCTCGCGGATCTCCAGGTTGCCCACCAGGAAGGTCCTCTCCTCCCTCTTCCTCCGGCCGCCTCCCGCCGGCCGCAGCACCGCCTCCTCCTCCCACAGGCCGCTCTCGGGGTTCAGGGACCACAACTTCATCTTGTGCAGGTGCTCCGCCATCCACACCTGCCCCGCGTCCATCCTCACCTGCACCGGCCCCGCCTGCAGCGCCGCGCCGCTCTCGCCCTCCCGAAAGTCCACGGCGAACATCCCGTAGGTGCGCAGGGGGACGATCTCCCCCTCGGCGTTGGCGAAGCTGAGGTCGCTGGAGGCGGCGCTGGCTGTCGCCATGTCCCGGGGGTCCACGAAGGTGACGCTGGCTTTGACCGTGCCGTTGAAGACCTCSCCCGAGGGCCGCAGGAAGGCGCCGGCGGGCAGGACGAGCTCCCCGACGGGCTCCCGGCCGCCGGCCTCTCCCAGCGGGATGGCGTTGCTCCGGCCGCCGTCCAGCTCCACCGGCTCCTTCTTGCGCAGCATCTTCACCTCCTGGTAGACTGCACCGCCGCGCCGGTCGAAGGGCAGCACCCTGACGGCGTCCACCAAGCGCTGCTGCCCGTCCACGAAGCGAGCGACCAAGCGCTGCGTGTCCGGCGGCACCTCGATGGTGAAGGAGCCCTGGTAGCCGGTGAACCCCACTTTCCTCCCGCCGAGGAAGATGTGCCCGAAGCGCAGCGGCTCCCCGGTGTCCGCCGCCGTCACCCGGCCCTGCACCAGCGCCCGGGGCTGGGCACAGGGCCCGCAGCCGCACTCGGCCACCACCTTGACGGGCAGCAGGGAGCCGGCGCACGGCACCTGCCGCAGCTCCATCCTCCGCACCCCGCAGCACCGCCCCGCCTCCTCCCCGCAGCCCGAGGGCTCGGCGGGGCCGCCGGGGCACGGGGACGGCGGGCAGCGCCCCACGTTGTAGTAGCGGGAGCCGCCGGCGTCCTGGGGGCACTCGCTGGGCAGCTCCACCAGGCTGGGCTCCGGCTCCGCCCTGCAGCTCTGCTGGCCCTGGGCTGGGGGCACGGAGGGGCGGCATTAGCGGGGTCACGGGGGTGTCCCCGCCCCGGAGGAGCCCCCCCGCTCGCTCACCCAGCACTGTGAGCTGTGCCGGCGCCGAGCGGATGGCGCCCGCCTCGGAGCTGGCTTTGCAGTGGTAGGTGCCGGCCTGCGCCGGTGCCAGCCCCCGCAGCGCCAGGCGGCCGCTGGAGCGCTGCGCCTTCCCCTCCAGCAGCGTCCCGTTGTGGTACCTGCGGGGACAGGGGGGACCGGCTCAGCGGGGACACGGCACCGCCGCTTGTGCTCCCCGCTCCCTCCCCAGAGCCCCCTCACCAGTAGTATTTCTGGGGCGCGGGGGTGCCCGAGGCTTCGCAGCAGAAGGTCACGTCCTGCCCGACCTCCCGCACCTTGGCCTGGGGGTGCAGCACCATGTAGGGTTTCTCTGCGGGGGAAAGGAGCAGCGAGCCCATGGGACCCCCGGATCGCCTCTGCAGGGGTGCCCCCCATCCACCCCGCGTTCTCACCGAGCCGCAGCAGCCTCAGGTGCGCCACGGCCACCCCGGAGCCGTTGGTGACGATGGGCGCCAGCCCCGGGGCGAAGCCGTSGCGGTGGGCGCTGAGGTTGGCGGCGGGGCTCAGGCACAGCCCCGCGGCTCTGAAGCGCCCCTGGGCATCGCTGCGGGCCAGCAGCACGGGCGGGCGGCCCTCCAGGAACACGCGGGCGTCCGGCAGTGCCACCCCGGCGGCGGTGACCACGGTGCCCTGCAGCGCGTGCCCGGAGCAGCCTGCGGGGGGACGCGGCTCAGCCCCCGCGGCCGAGGGGGCGGAGGGGACAGGCGGGCACGGGGGGCACCGCGGAGGGGTCCCCGCGTCCCCGAGGGGYGTACCTGGGCAGGGCGAAGGGGGACATTTCTGCACCTCGGTGGCGCGGCCGGGACACGGCGGTTTCTTGGCGGTTTTGCAGCTCCGGCGCCGGACGCGCGTCCCGGCGCTGCCGCAGCTGCGGGAACAGGGGCCCCAAGCGCCCCATTCGGTACAGGTGGGCTCTGGGGGGACACTCCCGGTGGGAATCGGGTCCCCCAAACCCCAGCTTGGGGTGGCCCTGCACCACGGGGCGGGTCACACCCTGGGCACAGGAGCCGGAGATGGTGGCACCAGGTGGCCCTTCCCACCCSCAGCTCCTGTGGGAGCTGAGCCGGGGATTCAGGGTCCCTGGAGAGAGCCCCGTCCCCTGTCACCCGCGGGTGACACCGCAGTGACAGACACCACAGCCACCCCATGGGCACCTCCAGCAGCGACCCCGTGCTTGGGTGACCAATCCTGCCACCCCGTGTCCCCTCCCGGATCACCCAGGGACAGGTGGGTGGCACCGCAGGTTTTAGGGTCCCTACCTGGGCAGGGCCCGGCGCTGCAGGGCCGGCGCTCCACGGCCTTGCCCTGGCACTTGAGCTCCTTGAGCGGGGCCTCGCTGCGGGCGCTGCGGCAGCGCCGGGTGCGGCTCTGGGTGCCCCTGGTGCCGCAGGCGCTGCGCGAGCAGGGGCTCCACGAGGACCAGTGCGACCAGTAAATGTGCTCTGGGGAGGGACTGGGGTTAACTGGGCACCCACGGGCCGTGTCCGGCACCCAAGGGGTTAA